CCCCGCGGCGCCGGGATCCCTCCTCTGCCTCCCTGGAGGTGGGCCCTGGTGCCCAGGCCCCGGCGTGGGTGTGGACGCTTCACCCACCCCTGGCAGGGAGTTGTGAGGGCAGAGACGAGAGGGGTGCTCAGGCAGGAACGCTCTCCTGAGTAAACAGGCACGGGCAGCGTGTCGGGGGTAGCTTGGGCTGCACAGGAGGTCCAAAGCCGCCGAGCATGACTAGTCCTGGCACGAAGGGGTCGTGGCTCTCGCAGCCGATGGTGAAGAGCGTGCTGGTGTATCGCAACGGGGACCCTTTCTTCCCGGGGCGCCGCATTGTTATCAACGAGAAGAAAGTGTCCAACTTTGAGGTCTTCCTGAAAGAGGTGACAGGAGGGGTGAAGGCACCCTTTGGAGCTGTGCGTAACATCTATACCCCCCGGGGTGGGCATCGTGTCCGGCAGCTGGAGGAGCTTCAGAGTGGAGAGCAGTATGTGGCTGGTGGCAAGGAAGCCTTCAAGAAACTCAAGTGAGTGGCTAAAAAGTAACATAAGATTTATATGGAACTTGAATATCAGCATTTGAGGTTTGGCACTATGGCAATACTTCAGAGGACCCCCCCACCTCACCTGTTTTATTAGGCATTGCACAAAGATGACTGAAAGGCTGTTACCCAAGGCAAAAAGAAAGGTACTTGTAACAGATAAAACTGTAAAAGAGCTTTAGAGGCAAGCCACAGAAAGGCTGCAGTTACAGTCACATAGTGCCATTTCGTTGACATGACAGTAGAAAAGGAGAAGGAACCCTTTAACGCAAAGGACATGCGAGGATGGCACAGATGGCACTTGTGATGTGCGTGCTTAACTGAGAGGCAAGCGTCAGTATTCATGCTCTGTGGTAACAGAAAGCTGTAGAAAGGTTGAGTGTTGACAGTCCTGCCATGAAGTTGATGAGCCTGGGAATTTAATTCCCAACACCTTTCTTATTTTTAAAAAGACTAAAATATTTTACCCAGCTATCCACCTCTCCATCACATCTGTAAATTTTGGGTAGGTATATAGCCTTTTTTTGACCAGAATAGCTGAATCCCTCCTCTTATTTAAAAGATGACTGTTTGCTTTCTTTTCCCTGCGCAGACACCAAGAATTAAGCTGACAGTTGCTCTGTTTTCTAGTGAGTGACTGGGAGAATATTGTGGAGGAGATCTGGGCTTTTAGGTGTGTTTCCAGAGTGGGTATGCATGTGATCAGTAATGGTTCTTAGTTCTGGCAGTGAATTTCATGGTCTCAATTTCCCAATTACATGTTTTGTTCAGTCTTTGTGAGCGTTTTTCCTACAGTTGAATTAAAAAGAAATCTCAAAATGAACAATCCGTTTCTGAAGGTGACTGGAAATTTATATGCTAAACTACCAGCTTTACAGGACCTCACTCATCTTGGTTTTGTAGAGTTGAGGACACCATATTTTTCAGCAAAGCTCGTTATGTTTCAGGACAAAACTCTCTGTGTAATGAACAGGATCTCTATCAGCACTGTTATCGCTTTTGTCACTGTCTGCTTCTGAAGATTTATTGAAGTTTCTTGCGTTTCAGTGGCAAAACTAGAGAGAAAGATGTATGACAGGCTAAATATAAGCCCCTTTCCCTCTGTATTCTCTTCCATGGCAAATGCAGTGCTCAACTCTCAATAAAGATCTACTGTATCTTTTTTGTATTAAATCCTGTGATTCTGTGGATGGCTTAAAGTTGTTAGTTGTCAGCACATCGTGTTTCACCTCCCTAAATGTGTTTTATGTTCGACAGACAGGCTAAAAGTCAGTCAGTGTTTGGCATTAGCATGCACTGTGTAGAGAATTGGGCTCTCTGGATTTATTTTGGGTGGGAAAAAGCATTTCTTTTTATCATTTCATTTTTTATGATTACAGTTTTAGAGCAAGAGCTTTTCAGACTTTTATGGTTGCAGCATGCGACAAGATACCAAAGTATTTAAGGTCAATGAAGAGACTACTCTAAGAAAAGGTAACTTAAAGGACTTGGTAAAAGCAGGCTATTTGATATATTCCTTGATAATATGCCGCAGTCCTGTGCCATAGGGAGGATAAATGGGATGACTTGAAATCTTTCCATTTCTGCATTCAGAGTTGGAGTTCTTCACTATTAGTATTTATATATATAGTAAATGTTGGCAGTGCTTTTACAAGCATTAAGACAGGCTGAAGGGCTTAATGTTGATCTTGTTCTTAACTGGATTGTAGATAGAATGATAATTAGGGAGATATTTTAGACAGAAAAGTTAGAGGAGATGAGGTTAGTTGAAAGGGACAGTTTTCTGAAAGGAATTGAAGGAATTAAATAAAAGAGCATATGTTTGTGTATGTGTCACAGGCAAAGATAAAGCAGCTGCAGCTGTGGGAGACCAAAGCATCTGCCCTAAAGGATCTGAGTCTGGTCTGATAGCAGCAAGAAGTTTGTACACTTTTAACAATTTTTTTGCAGTAATGCTTGTTGGACACGTTCATTGCTGTGATAGACTATGCAGGGCTGAACTTTGAAATGGAGGCTTGTGGCACTGATGTGTGGGAGTGTGATGGAAAGGAGAGGGTATCCAAGGAGAAGCAGAAGCTGAAAGTGTCATTGCTCCACTTCAAGCGGTGCATTTGTTTCTTTTCAGATGCCTTATTCTGAGAACTGAATCTTTTTCTTCCCTGTCTGCAGTGAATTCTAGAGTAAACCACACTCACCTTCAGCATGTGAATCTCTGTCATTCCAAGCCCTGAATCTTAACATGTTGAGATAGATACTTCTGAGGATATATAGTCAATATAAACTGTTAATATGTTTCATTTTTTAAATAAAAATAAGGTAATCAGCATTTAAAAATTCTACTTTTAGGAAAATATGTGCAACTTTGCTTTAAAGGAAGAATCAGTAGCCAATGTTAGGAATTTCCATAAAATATATTGTTTCCCAGATTGTTTTGTCATTTACAGGTGTGCTAAGTGAATACAAACTTTTTTGGTGTATATGTGGTGAGGTGTGTTGGTATGTTTTAGTTGTTGCAGTTGTGAGTGAGAATGCACCTTCAGGCCGGCATCCATGTGGAGTTCTTCCTTGAAAGAAAACTGTCTACGCTGGAGCTGGTTTTGATTTTTAGCCTTTTCTTTAGCATGCTGCTGTACCCTCCTCCTTCCTTTGCTCATTCACTTGTATCTGTGCTCATTAATTAATGGCAGATCATTGTCCTTTCTCCAGCAGTGTCTCTTTAAACCACACTGTAGTTTCATCACTGGCTTGGATAGTCATTGAGTGGAAGTATTTCTGCTTTCTTAGCAAGTGGAAATACTTTTGTAAAGTTTTTGGTCTGGGAATTTTTTTGGGTGCCTTTATCCCAAGAAAATACTTTGGACCTCAGATTTGTAGATCCCTGAAATCTGACAACTGAATGCCCAGACCTCTGCATAGTGAATTTAAGCCTTTGTCTATATATTTGCTTTTCTTTGTCACTTTTCTCAGTTCTCCTTGAGGTAATTCACAGATGCCCAAAAAACAAGAACCACAGTCAGCAGGTTATAGGCTATTGGAACTATTTTGTCTGAGATTTATTTCTTTTCAGTCTTCTAGGCTTCTTTAAGAAGACTTTCTTTTTTTTTTTTTGTCTTAAGAGAACTCATTCCTTCTTACATGGAGAAGCTTGAAACAGTTTGTTTTTAAACATGAGTCTTGGACACATTGTTTTCCTACATTGCTAAATTTGCCTTTTTCCAAAGCATCGGCGCACACTTTCAAGCATTGCCTGGAAGCATTGCTGTCTTACTGTCCCCACATACTTAAGTCTTGAAATCCTTGTGACCATTCTGTGGTACTTTGATAAATCATGACCATTCCTTCAAAGAATGAATGATTTCTTTCTCTCTCTCTTTTTTTTCTTTCTTTTTTTTTTTCCCTTCATTCAGGTCTCATGAATTCTGGACTTTTGGCAGGCAGAAAAGTTTCCTCTGGCAAACCTTATCCCAGTCGTTAACATTACATGTTAACAGCATGACATTACTGGAAGGCTGCAGATGTACTGTGGGTTCTGAGGTCTTTTGGTGAGCCTGCACTGATGTTTGCCGTCAGGTATACCTGCCTTTCTCAGGTAGGGTCTTCTAGTCTTAAAAGCCTGGCAAAACACCTGTGATTTCCCACTGAAAGTGGGACTAGGGAGAACCCATAACAAATGCTGATCACCTAGTGTTGGATTAGATGCTCCCAGTGTAGAATAGATATCCCAGCCATTCTTGTTCTCATGTTTAGCTCTTGGCAGAAGGTGCTGAAAGGTGCTGTTCTACTGAGTTATAACTGCCCACAAAGGCATCTCCTTCTACAACACTGAGAACTAGAAGTATTTTGCAGTGCCAGCAGCTACTGAGAGCTGCACTCATGAGAAAAGCCGCTCTCAGAGTGCTGACAAGGGAGAGGAGTTAGTGTAGTCTGGGTACCTGGATAGTTGCCTGTTTGCCAGTCTACGGGCTACTCATGCTTATTTAAACCCTTTCTTTGGAAAGGCAACACATGGCTAATCCATCATTGTGTCTTTTAACTAACGCTTTCGTATTAATGCAGTGTTTTTGTGGGAATACACACTCTGATGGAGTGCAGTATTGTTTAAATAGATGTATTTTGTTTTCTTGTCCAGTTGAGGCTTGTATTTTGTCTATTCATAAAATAATTGTGAAAATGTTATTGGTTCATTACAACCATGAGAAAACAGGATATACAGTGTTCAGATGTGTCCATGTCCTGTTGAAACACAAGTGGTGTAGATCCTTTTAAACTTTAGTTGGTGCCCTGGTTTAAACTTGGGTATGGAGGAAGGCTTTAAATTTATTAGAGACTTACTGTGAGAAACTAAGAGACAAGATGATGATTGAAAACTCTGGTAAGTTGATAATGTGCTGAGATTTAGTGATCTACCTCACAGTAGTATGTGAGCTTCTTTCTGACAAGGGGGTTACTGATGGTCTGTTCTGATCACCAGTGACTTGAAGGTAGATAGTTCGTTCTCCTCCACCTTTTGTAATAGCCCAGGGGGCTAGCTTGCAGATTTATATTAACACTCCTTCAATAAAATCTTGAATTAGTTACTTTTTAATGTTATTTTGAGGTATGATAAATTTTAAAAACTTCATGTATGGAAAAAATGTAGAAATATTTGTCTTGTGTAAGTTAGATACTTCTCTAAATAATCAATACTGTTTTCCTTCCACAGCTATTTGGACATCGGTGAAACAAAGAAAAAACCTGCAGAAGTCAATAACGAGGTAGGATGTCTGAAATATTTAAGAAGTAAACATGCAGTTAAGATTAGTGACATGCCTGCATTTATGTTTAATAATAATACAAATATCTAGAATTTTGAACATATTTTTAAGGTGATTATTACTCTTACTGCTCTGAGCATGATGCACTGATTGCCTTTCGCTCAGCTTTCTGCATTGCTGCATCCAGCTAAAAACTTCCAGTAAAGAAAATCTCATGGTGCCATCATTGGATCTGGTTATAAACCTAAGGGACATTCTTTTTTTTTTTTTTTTTTTTTTGTGTGTGTGTGTGCAGAAAAAGGTAGTGGGAATGAGAGTTTAGGGTATTTTAGACCAACAAATTTTCTTCAAAACTTGGTATTTTCTCTGAAGAAGGGACATTTTTGTTTGAAAAAATCACACTTAGTTGAAATGTTTCTCCCAGTCACTGCCACTGTCAGTTGTAAATGTCTAACTGGTTCTAGTCCATAATTCTCCAAACTCACCTGTTTCTCTTGAATAGTGCTACATTATAGCCTGAGGAGATAACTGCAGGCTTCAAAAAACAGTATGAGGATTTTTGTGAGATGTGTGACTCTGCATTATTTATACTGTTCTATTCTGTATGGAGATAGCAATGATTCCCAGCAAATATTTGAATTACAGCTTCCGCCTGACAAGAAGCATCAGCTCACAATTTCTTCCATTTCTTTTGCCTTGTGATCTCATGCCACATTTCAGCAATTTAATGGTTTGTGCAGCAGGTGCTTCCAGACTGTGGGACACCTTGTACCTGAAGACCTGCAAAAGGACTTAGTGTCATAATGACGCTTGCTGTGATACTTGGATACTTCTTATTCAGAGGCTGCATTTGATCATAACTTTGTAACCTGTTTTTTTTTATTTTCATTCAAATGGGCACAATCAACAGGAAGATCAAATTGAAGTCAGAGATTTGATATGCTGCTACAAGTACCATATAAATTTACTCTCAGTTAGATTTTTGCCCAGTTTGTTTATTTATGCAATCAACCAGAACATTGTGGAAATAGTTTTGTTGGTTTTGTGTAGCCATTCGCATCTCCTTGTTGTGTGGATCTTTTTTACAAAGGGAAGAGAACAATTTAAAAAAATAAGAAAAATTAATTAAACACTGATGAGGCAGCAGGGTTATTCTCTATGCTGATGTGTATATAAAACTGAGCAACACACCTTCACATATGTACTATCTAAGCTTTTCCATGTCTTTTATTCATAAATTCTATTTTTGACCTTATTCCAGTCCTGGGTTTCCTCTGATCAAGTTTTGTGAATCTTGCCGAAACTAGCTCCTTGCAGGGTGCACAGACAGAGAATCAAGTAATTTATCTCACTTTTAATAGTGATCTAAGTAAGACATTATTTTTGGGGGAGATAAAATGTTTGTACAGCAGCAGTATTGTACTAACCTCAACCTTCAACACATATAACATAGGTCTGAATCAAAAACCTCACCTTTGGATGGATGACCAGTCTTTGCCACTTTTTCTGAACACCTGAATGCATGGATAGCACCATATTTTATGCTAAAATAGTATCTAGGTGAAAAAGAAAATTATTCTTACATATCCAGGATGAGAAAGAGAGAACTTGAGGAAATTGCTTCCAATTACCTCTGAAAATGCAGTGGTTTGCATTCACTACTATATGTGACTCACATTAATAGTGTGCAATATGACTAATTCCATATGCCCTTTGCTGAGAAGGTAGCCATCTTCATGGACAACTCTTAACCAAATCTCCAATACTGGCAGTTATCAGGACAACGACAGGCTTGCTACTTTAAGGCTAGCTTTAAGGCTGATGATTTTGCTTCAAATTCGTAGATGATTCTCAGTATAATAGAAATTCTGTGCAGTTGGAGAAGTAGTTGTAGAAGTTGTGGGGTTTTTACTTAGAGTTGCATGTTCGGTAAGAGAGGCTTCCATTACTCCTGGAATCAGTGGTTATTGTATGTTATCTTAATACTTTCAGCCATTTCTCAGGGCTTTGAAGTAAATCAGCAAAACCCGTCAATTATCTCATCTTTCTTCCTATTTGACTTATGTTTGCAATCTCCATGGTCTCTGTGGAGAGCTTAACTCCACACTCTGAGTTTAACTTTATGTAATTGATTTATTTGGGGAGAGGAGTCATAAAAATGAGATGAAACCTAGTAATAGTCTACAGATTTTTATCTGGGCTTATGAATAACACAATTGTTTTCATGCCCTAATCATTTAGTCCTAGGAATGAACTTTCAGGGGGCTAGTAACAGAAGTTTTAATGCCTAAATATATTTATGTTAATGTGAGGAAGCAAGTTCTGGTTTTACTTTTTTTTCAGGCATTCACTTAGAAGTCAAGAACCTAGATGCATTTAGGACCAGGAGGGCAGCAGTATGCCTACAGTTTTGTTCTCTTCGATTCTGCGGGATTTGCATCAGCAAACAAAAAAATCATGTTTTTCCATGAAGCCCTGTAGCAGTCTCTGATGCTAGCCTACAAAGGTGTTTTACTTTCCTAAGGCATTGTTTTAGATTGTGTTTCAGAAGTAAAACCCTCCCTGTTTGTTTCATTAGAAGAAGAAAAAAATCATTGTATGTGTGAATAGCAACATTGCTAAAGAAACAAATTTATGGCTCAGTCCTGCAAGCACAACAAGGTGTAATTTGTGAATCGTCTCAATGACTTCAGTATGAAGATTACCATGGAGTTATGCATGTACAGAGAAATTTGTGGGTCAGGTCTGAATTTCTAGTGTTCTGGTGGGCTGGGGTGGGGGCAGGAGAAAATAAATTAATAAAATTATTTGGTTGATTATTTGGCTCACTGCAGCTTTGCAAGCTCCTTGCAGATCAAGGACCCATGTGCTAGGTGTTGAATAAAAAGCTCACTGGTGGCCTGATGGACAACTCCAGGCTAACATTAGGGTGTGTTTTCAGACTGATCTTTGTCAGGGCAATTGCTGCTCTCTTTGTGCTGGTGCTGAAGTATTAACCTGCTCTCCTTCATCAGCTCCAACTCTTCCCCTCCCCCCCCCCCCCCCCCTTCTTCCTGGGCTCAACTTCACTCCCAATTTCTCTGCTTCTTCTCTGCCCAAATGTTTTTAGAACACGATATAATTTGTCAGGGCTTGCAGAAGGAGATGGTCTTGGAGCTATTAGAGCTGGCTTGCCCTAGACCAAGTTTTGGAAGCACATTGACCTGGTGGTGATAACAGTTTTTCTGTACCTGCATAGTGCCATATATCAAGGATCTGAAAACTTTAAAAAGCTAGCACAGAAACAGTATGAGAAATTCATGTTCAGTGATTAAGGATGATATCATCATGCTTAGATAAAAGGATACCAATTCTACTTGTATGAAGCCCACTTAATTTGGCATTTCCTCCCCGATGAGTGTTTCTTGGTGCAGGTTTTTCTCCAGTAAAACAATTACAAAAATCTACTTCCGATTCTGGTTAGTGAGGAGGGAGGCAAAAGGAAGATCTTATGCAGCAGCTGTACACTGTGTATTTGTATGCAGCTGTAGGTTTTCTTTTAAGTTAAACTGCCAAATGTTTGACATCTGCTTTTGGGAGTACTTTAATGTTATCCTTTGAAGGCAGCATCTCAATTACTTTAAATTTACATAAAACTAGAAAATGTGTGGCAAACTAGAATTAAACAAGAGGAGCTCTGGGGAAGGTTTCCTCAAGAAGCTCTTAAAGTAGGTGTGTTGTTACAACACAGCAATGAACCCATTATGTAATGTGTAATTCATTAAGCACTATCCATCTTTTTAATGTGAGAAGTGGAACATGCAAATAGATGTGATTGTGTGTAAGATGGGTTGGGATAGTTTGGGAGGACACATTTTTTTCTGTCTAAACAGCTAGGTTTATAGATGAGGGTCTATACCACCAAGTACCTTATTATAGTATCAGTAGCTGATTTCACCACAGGCTGTCTTCTGTGAAAGGTGAATGAGGTAGAAAGAGTGTATTACATGTCCCCCATCAGTAGTGTCAGCATCCAAAAGCACATAAGCAGACCAATGCAAGAAAGCTTCTATTTCTACTTTTTCTAGTGTATCGATTGCATACAGCAGTTTAATTTCAAGGGCTTTTCTTTTAAAAATAAGCATTGTTTTAAAGATAGTTGAAACATGACAGTAATAACAATGCTCTTAAAATCTTGCAAAATAACTATAGTCTTGGTCTGTGAGTCCCATCTATCAATCAGAGTTGGGTCTTTTAAAAAAAATTATTTTAAAAGCCCTTAGTCATTCTACTACTGATATAAATCAGGTTTCAAGGTGGTCTTCAATGAAATCATCTCATTATCAGTTAGTATTTCTGATATCAATGATAGATTTCTTTAATCCAGTGTCTAGTTTCTTAAAATCTAGTTTACCAATCCAAGGCCTCCAAGCAACTGAAATAAATGGACCAAATGCTCAGCTGATGGAAACTAGGTATTTTTATTGACCAATCTACCTCAGACGTGGACTTCAACTTATAGCCCTGTTCTTCTGGGTAAAGTTTTGTAGACCAGTGTCAGTATAGGATGATGAATGAGGGAGAGCCGCTCTGATATCTTACTGCAGGATGATATAATTTATGATAGAAACAAAGTGCATGAAAATGATATCGAACATTTATTAAATGTTTCTAAGTAGCAGGAGTTCCAGTATTGTCACTTCAAGTGATGTCTGTAGTTCAGTGATCATTGACTTCAGTAGACTTGAGCCATGCCCAGGGCCAGGAAGGAGGTGGGATGCCGTTGGTTTTGCAAAAGTACCAATGGTAGTTGTGGTACTTTAACAGTTACTGGATTTCAAAGATAGTTAGATGCCTTGATACCATTTTTGCTTTTGCAAATCTTCCTCAGACTGTCGGACATATGCATGTGATGAAGGGAATAGTTCAAGAGAAAATTGATAACTATGCAGAAGAAAGAAAGGAAGGAGTTTAGAATGAGAAAGACCTGCAAGATCCTTTTCACTTCAGACCATCAGTCT